ATTCATATAAATTGCCGCAATGTTAACTAATTGAATGAAAAATATAACGTTTAATACAATAATTTTTATTAATTCTGACACAAATCTTGAAATACATTTTTGGTGGTACGATGCCCTTTTGCTTATTATTAGTTAGGTAGTGCTTCCACTGTCGGCAACGGCGTCCCAAACAAAAATAGATATATATATAAATATATATAAATATATAAATGATTATTTTGAACCAGCATAAGCGTTGTGAGTGGTGGCAGCTTTTGATCTGTCTACAACATAACATTGAAAATAATACAAAAAGGAAGCTAGGAAGAGGTTTCTTTATATGACGAATATAATAGTTTTTTCGCAAACTATTTTTAAAAGCTTTTATTTAACTTGTTTTGTTATCTGACTTTTGCGAATTAAAGAAACAGTTCCTCTTTTTCAAACAAGGTTAAATTTTGCATACATAGGTAATTTTCGTTACATTACAATTACATTTACTTTAGTTTATAATTGATAAAACAATAAAAAAATTATCTCATAAAGGAACGAAAATATTATGGATGGATCTTATGAAGAAGTTGAAGCGATTATAGTTCAATATGCAAATTATTGTCTAAATATTTTGATCCAATAACAATAACATTTTTTCAATGATAAACTACTCAATTTTATACCAGAAAACTTTAAACAATGTGTGCACACAGGGTATAGAAATTTTAAGAGAGGGTAGAAGCGATTAGAAGAAATAGTTAAAAACACTATTTGAAACTGCGAAAATATAGCTAGTGCATTCTTCAAAAGTTTGGATATCTCCAAAAATTATTTTTAGCGGTTTTTCCCATTAACAAAAGAACATTCTTTAAATTTCGTAAACGAAAATAAAAAAAAAATTGTTTCTCTACCAATTATCTGGAATAATCCAAGAAAGCAAAAATGAAAAAGGGAGGGTTTCATTATTGATTATCAAAATAAAAAACAGTGAACAGCAGAAGTGTTAGTGAAATTAAACGCAGTGATCGCGTCACCATATGTGCATTGTTTGATGTCTATTCCATAATAAATGAATAAACACATTTGCGTTTATTGTTGTCGTTATGTCGAAATATTATGGAACAAGCGATGTTTAAAAATTTCTTGTTGCACCAGAATTAATAGATTTGTAGGCCAAACGCGTCATCTGCTTCAATTTCTTAAGCGAAACCCCTCGCTTTCATTATTTATAATTAGAAACGTGTAAGAAAAACACTCATGTAAGGTTTTAACACATGTAAATAGCATCTAATATATACAAATAAAAAATGACCCACTTTGAGGCGGCAGATGCGGTTTAGAAATAAAGCAAATCGGTTTGCTATTTACATTTAATCCTAACGAATTTTTACGCTCTTGTTTAAAATAAGGATTTTATCGATGATGTGTGGAAAATTTTAACGCTCATAAGGAAGTAGGATATTTATTTGACAAATTACTCTATTCGCACGAAATGGTGCAAATTTGATTAACAATAATTGGATGTGTCACTCATACCTTGAATGACATTAGTTTATTTTCAAGTTTTGGTAATACTGTAACATTAATGAGTCCATGTACCCTAACCGAGAATACAAATCCTCATTAATTAATCAATAAAGTTCCCATTTTTCATTAGTGAAGGGTTGAATATATTTTCATTGTCTAAATTTATATTTTTGGTAATTCGATCCCTCCAGTATCCCGACTAATTTTAGATCGGGGCAGCGGCTAGCTTCCGAACGCCTGAAATATTAAACATTTTCAACCCTGAAAAACAACGTTTCACGTGGAATTGGTTTTAGTCGGATCTAACCGCCGTTACAGAGCCCGCACATTTCTACTTGTAAATACATGATGTCATAGACAGAGTCGTATTAAAATAATTAATTAGATAAATTACCCCGAGGCTTAACGTGCGACATGCAAGAAGCTAATTTTCATGGAGGTTGTAAATAACAAAACATTATTAAAATTTCGTTCAAGATTTGTTTTGACGCCGCCACGCTTTAGCGCAGCTTTGACCTTAACTTTTTTTCCGCGATAATGAGCCAGAGGACGGGTATTTTTTAAGTTATGTAACTGTATTTGTTTAGCATTAAGAACGTTAGGCGTATGATAATTCCCGGAACACTTGGTATACAGGAATCTTTATTTCAGTTAGATGGGTAAACACCGTCTGAATGCTAAAATGAAACGGCCATGAGACATGGAAAATACACCTTTAAAATCCTGAAAAGTTTACTAAAATTAGATTCTTGCTAACTTGACGAAATTCTCCAAATTGGACTGGATGAAGATGACGCGTGATCTCCATGTTTGGCTTTATTGCGGAAGTAACACTAAATAAAAATGGAAATTATCGTCAGCGTCACTGTTTTAAAGCCTTGATAACACTGCAATGCTAATTGTTAATTACGCTTTTTTACTTTCATTAATGCCGAGATAATAGAGCTTGCTGAGATGAGATTGCGTATATCCTTTTTCAATTTTAATTAATTCAAAAATGTATTTGCCCAGTAATTATATTTTTTCGAGTTATTTTTAGTACAAAATAAACTAATGTTTAATTTATGTTATATAATATTGGCCCCATATCACTCTGTATCGCAATTTAGGTGTTCGTTGGATAGCAAAGCAAACACAACAACGATTAGTTCTCAAATTTACTAAAGATAACGCTTCGTCCATATGGTCCTACTATAAATATAACAATATTTTGTAATTATTGTGCCATATGCAGTGAGTATCAGTCTAAAACATAATAAACAAAAATAACATGCTTTTTTAATTTTGGGCAAATTTTTGGTACTATTGGCGAAATGTTCATTTCACTTTATTAAGGTTGCTCAAATTTCTTATTTCATCTTTGAAATAGACTGAACACGATGATTAAAATTTATAAATCAACATTTTTTAATGAAACTTTTAAAATAACTTTTTTAATTTTGATGTAAAAATAAATGAAAATAAATATCTACTTGAAAGTATTTTGTTTGGGGCAAAAAGCTTCCAGTTAATAATAATTATTGTTTGGAACTAACGAATTATAATAACATTTAAAACACGAAGAAAGATAACCAAATGACATTTGTGTTAAATAGGTGTATTAGAAATTAAATGGTACATAAAATTGTAAAATAGTCGAGAGATAAAATTTGGCGACATTATTTTCTTTGAAAGCAAAAATTATGTCAACTTTAGCTTTATTGATAAGTGTGGGTGGGGCAGGCGCCACATTATTTAGCTAATACACGAGTAAATACTTTATGTCGTGCCCTCGAGTGTTTTAAGTACGATAAACCACCAGAAACTAGGTGTTATAGACTCCTAGTTGTCGCAACGGGCTCTAGGGGTTTGAATAAAACACATAAATATTGGGGTCAAACCCTGTTTGCTTTGTACAGTGTTGTACAATCACATCCGGCTTTGTGATTGTTGGTTTTTCAACGTTTCTCAGAATTGATAAGAACGAGTTCGTTAAAATTGATTACGGTTTTTCATTTTTAAGGACCAAAATATTGTGAATGAAAATTACTCATCTTACAAAATGTCACAAGATTTCTGTTAACTGGTTAGCACCAAAGTTCTGGTAAATCTTGTTAATGGACCATAAATTAACAATTTCAACAAAATTAGATAAATTATCACGCTGTTCGCAGTACGGAAGATTTTCCAGTGTGACAGATCATCATCCAACTGAAACACCAACGCACTTCTTTCGTGTTAAGAAATGACTTATCTTATCTACACGTGAAACGGTAGACGCAATTGCAGATAAGTGTAAATAAAGAAACAAGTGATTCACTGTTTTCACTTTACCTATCTTTTGGAAATAAGCCCACCCACATGAACACGTTGAATATACAAGATGTGTTATTGCACCAGATTTTATCATCACCTATCCTATTTTCGACCAGATTTGATTGAAAACGCTTTTGGTGGCCCTAATTTATTAAAATAATATGTAAATGAATCAATGACTCATATAAAATAGTTGCAATTTGCTCTATTTATTTCACAAACACGAATCACGGACTCGACCAACCCTTTACATACAAACATCAGAAGGTTAGAGCTGAAATTTTTATTGGTGTAAACAAATTATAAAAAGATATTAAATTGGGAATCTCAACTTGTGGATGGCATTAACCTTGGTTGAAAAAAGTGTCAATGTTGGAATAACTCTAGCACCCACGAGGAGATTTTATAGCAAAAAATATTTTAAATATTGTTAGTGTTTCGATAAGAGAATCAAAGTACCAAGGTGGGTCATGTGGTCTTTTACCAAGGGGTCATACGGTACCCAAACCCAACAAAAGGTGACCTAGAAATTCAACTGTCTCATCTCGAAACGGTTATTAGCATAATAATAACAAAAAGTTTTTCTATAAATGGAGGCCCGCTTTCCTAATAATTAATTTCGTATTGATCAGACGCCATTCGACATTGAACTTGTGTTATTACGATGGTAGTCGTAGCAACCAACAATAATTTCTATATCAAATGAATAGTAATAAAGATAACAAAATAAAAATGGTAGAATGTAATATCACCAAGTCAAGGATCATTAAAAAACTAACCTTGTACTTACCCGAGCTTCCGTTTTATCTTAAAGGGGACATCGGAAATGACCAAAATTTTTACAGAGGAACTTTTTACGACTTTGCATCATTGTTGTTCAACAATTTAACCTCGTTTAGTAAGATAAGAAAAATACACGTTCCAATGGTCGATTGTAACAGAATCAACCCGGATGCGACTTATTTCTGGTTGGGATCAACGCTGTTGCATAAAGCCGTGTTATTCACCTTCGCTGGGACACACGATCGGATTGTCCAACTTGACATAAATAAAATTTTATTTCGGGCACCACTAAACGAATTTAGCTCAGACATTATATTTCCAGGACACATTGCAATATCGTATTTATTAATATCGATTTGGGTTAGCATATGGCTCGATTAATTTCTTGCACCTTTTCTAATGACCTGTTTTTTTCCTTGCAGATGCACCGAACGAAAGTTTGTACATGATTGGGGGAGTTTGTGTGGCCATGTTTATGGTGGGAGTCATCATAGTCCTGTTGGCGGTGACGATTAGGTAAGTATTAAAGTCTGAAGTATTTTGAGGCCAGGTGGAACACAGCTTTTTAGAAGGGGAAAGAACTTTGGTAGCAATGAACGTTTTATTTCTCCCATCTGGTTCGTTTTTCATCGATTCTCGTTTTATCTGGTGTAGTTTTAATAAAAATTTATCAGCAGCCAAATTTAATACTCTTTCATAATATAACAAAAATGGAAAGTGTGTTTTTGTGGTCAAAATACATATTTTACTTTTTTCTATTGGAAGGGAGAAGCTACGGTCGATGATTCAATGTCTTTTCACTTTTCTCGAACGTTGCAATAATTTGTTCAAGTACACTTGGAATTTAATCAACAATCATCGATTAATTGGAGTAGGTAGTATGGAAATATTAGGTTCCAGAATACAATTTGTATCTTATTTGTCATTACATCACCACATTCTCGCCACAATTTATTTTTCTTCGTCTAATTTACGTTTAACAATTTTATTTGCTTTGAAATTTTTTGTCCTTTTGTGTTTGCAATTATATCATACTAGCCTGAACTGGTTTACCATATAATTTATAACACAATCAAGTACGAAGGTAAGACCGTTTCATTGTTCTCCATCGAATTTAACCGAGATTTAATCTCAGGTTAACGAGAATTTGATCAAATCGTGGACTTGGATTTGTTTACAAACAAAATTTTGAAAATCATTCCAAAAAAAATAAATCATTCCAAAGACCTACTTTGTTTGTTATTGTCATCGTGTTTTAACACCAAGAGAACCTTTTTGATAATGAAAAAATGAAAAACTGCTGTAATTTCAAGGTCAGTGTCAAACCAGACGATGGAACTTTGAGATAAATTTCCTCATATTGCAGTATTGTTCCTTGTCAAGTTTCGTGAAATCATTCGGTTATCACGTGCAAACCGCGGTTCGCAGAGCAAGTGTTCCACTGTTTTTGATAATTAAGTGGGACTTAAAAAGTGAAATTTTTTTGTAGATTGATTGTTTAAAAATTCGCATGCCGCTAACATTTAGAAATTAATTCCTTGAAAGTCACGATTGTATATTATGTAAAACTTTCTCGCACTGACTCTAACTGTTTGATAAATGGACCTCATGCACCAATTATTTGGATGTTAACAACGAAATTGAAAATATTTTCACGTAAAGAGCTTTTGTAGTCTGGTAACTGTATCAATGATTGTTCGTGCGCTACTAAACCGGATAATAGGAGAGTTAACTGCCCTTCGACTGATTAAGACTAGGCATTCTAATTAATCCGAGCCTGCTTTTGACAATTATTTTATGACGTAAGCTGACATCCGTTTAAAAATTAAATGAGTTCATCTGATATTAGTCAGTCTGAACATGCGTTGTATTAGTCCTTTTTGCATTCAGTCTTCATTTTTCAGTGTTTCAATTCAAGCAGAATGAGCGGGTGAGTGATGCGATTAGAAAATTTCCTATAGTAAAAATCTAAAAATACAAACCACTAATTATATATTCTGTTTTGCAGAAAATAAATTTATTTTTATTAGTTATTCTTCAACGGAAAATTGTCTATAAAAATTTTACGATATGATGGCGCACCCTCAGTGTTTATTTTCAACAGAGTGGAATCTTCTATGACACTATTTGGCAGTATGTGTATATGAGCGATATTTTTAAAGTAATATACTCTTGTGTATATGTTGTATAATTTCCAATATTAAAAGATCATGGCCAACAATAACATGACACTAGTTAATTTTATTGTTGAGGTTTTGTTTACTTACAATTTTAATTGAAATTTTGATTCCGTTTTAATTTTTTTATTAAATTAAAAATAACTATAACGTAGTACACCTATTGTTTTGTATGACTGATTTACTACCACTTCTTGTGTATTTATGGATTGTTTTATATAGGTACAAGAGTGTCACCATTTTCAAAGATAAGTCAGTTTATTATTAACACGAAACCTCTAAACATCTACTGCAAGTAGAGTCAGTGATGGTTTTTACCGAAATCGACTTTATTTTAATCTTCGACTCGTAAGTTTAATGCGTTTTTATTGATATCCCTATTTCCGCTTCCGTAACCACTTTACATAAGTTTTCTTAGTCAACGAAATGCAATATTTTTGATATTGTGATCCAGTCCAACTTACCACAGATTGTTTTTGATCGACGAAAATAATCATTTGGAAAAATGCTTTTGGGCTAAAGTGTGTGCCAAAGTAAGCAGTTAGATTCTCCTTTGATCAGTTTTAATTAAAAAAAAAACAATAGTAGCGTCATGAAAACATTAAATAGTAAAAATAAGTCACTATGCAACTTAAGGTTAGAGAGTTGATGTGTGTGATATTATTTTCAATTTGCTTTGGTAGTTTCTGATTTGTAAACAAAACAGTTGTTTAGTTCTATTTTTTCCGAATGTGCGTACATGTGTTTTAGGAAAAGCGATAATATTAATGTTCATTAGCCGTTTATTTGGAAATTGATCAAGACACAGTTTTAACATTTACTGCACTTACGTCAAAAGTACCAGGGAAGGTAAACACAATTGGACCAGAAATAGGTTATTATTTTTAGTCTGTGCAATTTTTTTCTTTCCTGTGTTTGACTTGCAACGAAAATATTTCTGTTTTCGATCAGAAATATTGTGAGTCAAGGTGAGAAAATCGTGAATGGTTTGTCTTTTGACAACGTTTCGAAATTTCTGGCTCTTTTCAGGAATGTTTGGTATCTCGGACATTTGGCATAGACAGCAGACGCCTAAAAAGCCTGTCGGGACACGGTTTTGTTGTTTTGTGTCTTACTATAAGTTATATAAGTATAGCTAGTTGCTAAATTTATGCCAATTTTATTTTGGAACCATGCAATGTCACATTGCTGGAGTGGGTGGTAACCATACCTCAACACATGGCAGCATATTTGGTCCATCTGTCGAAACCTAAATCCAGATAATTGTTATTGAAAAAATTAGAAAAGTACATTTTTGGGACCTCCAGACACGTTTAAATTGATTTGTGTGGCTGTTACTCTCTAAACAGAGCAGTCAAGATGATTAATATTACTCTTTGAGTGTAAATTGGTTGTAATTTTTAGATTTGTGTACAGGTGAGACAAGCCGACCTTACGGATAATGCTTTTTTAAAAACAGTTTCAATGAGATTGTATTTTTAGAAAGTTCTCACCTATCAGTTGGTGTTGTAAAACTTGTTTCTGTCACCCTTGTAAATAAATATACTGGTTGTAAATGCAATGTTACATTTCTAAAGTTCATTCGTTGTGATGCTGATAATAATCTAAAGCTTTCCCTGTTTGCTAATCTATAAATCTACCGGTTTAACTCAATGTCAAGGTATTACTTGTATTATTTAATGATAGTTTTATATCAGGCCTTCGAGACAGTCGGCTTAATAAATAACGTCTCAAGTTTGCTGTTTGATTCAGAATGTTGTTTAATTATAATTAGGCTAATAGTCAACGTCAAACCAAATTTTCAACAGTTAATACTATATTTCTCGTTTTGTTTTAGGATCATCCTAAATATAACGATTAACGCTCTAAATAGAACTTAAGTAAATACAGATAGTGTTTTGATTGACCTCTTTTAACTACCGAAACGAAATCAAAATATATATATTTTTTATAGGTGTTGGAACTAACATGACGCACAAAGCTTAGTCAGAAAAAATATTAAAGAATACGCTTTCGCTTTTAAGATCAGGGTTAACGAAAAGTAGGTCCTTCCAGATAGTCTGGCCATTTCGTAATGTTTTAACGGAACGACCTCCAAACAGGAAAATCCAAATTACTGTAATGTATTTATTTCCCATGCTGATGTAAACAGCTACTTACGCTTAAATTTTACACGTAATCGATTGAATAATATTATTTTGTTTACATAAATTTGTGTTTCATCGGAAAAACTTACTTACAGTTTTTTTCCGAAACTCACGTGCACCCCACTTTTTATCACTTGAAAAATATCGTCAAGAAGACACTATCTTTGACCTTACTTAACTTTGTTTGTGTAAGACCAGACTTTCCACGGGATTCCAGCATTGAGCAACCAATGACCCAGTCGAACTTGATGGGAGATAAAATTTCGTTAGACAGCTTGCACACACAATATTGTAAGAGAATAATGGACAATGTCCACGCAGGGAGATTCCATTCATTTATGTCTAAAACTCCATATTATTAATGATGAAATGAGTAGGATGCTCTTTCAGAATCTTTCTTATTACACTGGCCGACAAAATTAACCGGGCAACTAAAATTTTGCGATTTTTTTACGTTGTTATTCTTTGTCGGATTTCGAGTAATTTTTGTTCGGCTTAAAGAACGAACTTTGCAGAACATTGTAATTTAATTCAACACCATTTTAGCAAAAACATTTTTACTAATCGCTATTTTTCCCATTTTTAAAAAATAAGTTATTTATAACAGCTTTTCTCCATAACAAAAAATCAAACAAATTGTATTAATTTACAAGTCAGATAATGGAAAATGAACAGAATTTTATATCATCATTCATAAAATAAGGGTCATAGTTTAAAAAACTGTACATTTATAAAGTTTTATTGAAGTTACACAGGTGACCGGAAAAAAGGTTGTAAGGTTCCTCCGTGGTGTTGTTCCATAGATTAAAATAACAAAAAAAGACTTATGGGCCTATGTACGAAAATGCTTCCTGAGGGAGCTAGTGCTGCTGTGGTAGTGCTAGTGCTAGTTAAGAAAATGGCGGACAAAAGCCTTTTTTTCAATTATCTCCGTAATCAGTGTACACAAATTTACAAAAGTTTGCATCTGGTAAAACTTTTTGGCGTTGAATCTATTGATGATATCATAAATTGTGTACCTTAATTAGCGGGGCAGAGGCACTGGTGTCAATTTATTTAAGGCTAAAATTTTGCTTTGGAATGAGTTTTTTGAAATTTGTTTTGGTAGATTCAGGTTTATTGGCTAATTTTCTTCAAAAATTACATTGTGTTATTTTTGTACAACGTACCGTTTTAGGGAAAAACGAGTTTTTTCTTAACCGACCATTGACCTTAATTCCGAAAAGCAGTTTTTTTCATAATGTGGTCGAGTTATCGCTCTAACTTCTTTAGGAACCATTTCCGGACACATGTCCATTTTTTTTTATTTTTCATAAGAAATTTTAAAATTAAATCACTAGATTTCAAAAATTTTTAATAATATTAATACCAAAATAAATAAATGGCAAAATGGCAATTTTTTACTAGGAATTACGTTTTTGTTACGGTTTTTTTGGAATTTTTCTTTTAACATTTATTTAGATAAAGAAATACGGCTTTTTTGATTAGAGATTTCTTTTTGTTTTATTTGGTTTTGCTTTTTTTGTTTATTTTTTTATTTTATTTAATAATAATACTGATGATCTTGTATCTGTTTTTTTACAATTATTTAATAAAGTTACAATAATTTTGTTAATAAAAGAGAGTTACAATTTAGGATACAGCTCCTTGTTTCCTCTTCTAATAGCCTATAGGAAAAAACTTAGAAAATCATTTTTCGAACAGAAATAAATAGTCGAAGTGCAAAATTTAATCTCTCATAACTTCGAAATTTTTATAGATATTTTTTTAAAACATTTTTTCCATTTTCCTGATATCTTACTAAATGGCATTTTTCTCTGGGGGCCAATTCTGTCGCACCCTGTATATTTGCATTTGAAAAGTAAAAATTAAAAACTTGGTACATTCACCGAAAATTTTGACTAAGAAAGGTTTTTGTACGTGTGCTTTTTACAACAAACCGAATTGTACTATATAATACTACTATGAAACATAGTAGTATGTATTGAGAGAATGAAAATTTTGTGCCACATGTGAGTGTTGGCCTTTCTTTACTTTTTGGAGTTGCGATTTTGTTGTTGCAGATGGTATTTTGTTTTTTCTGCTTTGGCTTCTCCCATGTTTGTTGGGTTTTCTCTCGTGTATTTCCTGTTGTTTTGAGTGATGGTTTTTCTATGTGGTATTTCCGCGCTAGCAGGAATCCCTCCTTGTCTAAAATCACTCAGCTGTTCGTAGCAAAAGCGGTGACGCTCGGCTAGACGTTTGTGAGTTATCCCCTGTCCCCTCACTCGGCGGCAACGCCTCCTGGTGGCCTACGATAGCGTATCGTCGTCAACGTCACTGCCTCTGTATATAAGGCGTTCACACTAGGCAAACCGCTTCAGACTCCACTCGAAAGTCGTGTTGAGGAGGTTGTTTAGCTTGGAATATAGCTAGGCCCTCAGAGTTTGATTACAAATCTAGTCATCTCTTACTCAATATTGAAGTCGTGTTGTGTTGTTCTTATCGAAAACAAAAAATAATTAAACACAATTGCTACCAAAGGATTTCACTAGTGCTGTGATCAGTGTTTATTATCCTCGCAAATCGGTGCTGATTCAGCGCTTGTGACTATTTGTGTTTTGACTGTCTTATCTTCTAAACTCGTCTCGAGTTTAGGAGCCCAACGGCCTCAAAATAGCTATCTTCAGTTTTTCAAAACGGAGCCCCAAAAATAAAATGGTGGGCAGCAACGGCACTATGATTGCAATTCGTCTTGTCCGCAGCAAATTGAGGAAGCGAGAGGAGCACAGCAATAGCGTGCACCCCGCCGACGTCGTTCTGCATCAAACGACACCAGCAGCTGCCACTTTGGCCACCCAAACGCCAACCGCCCCTCAGGCACTGCAACCCGATCCCTTGGCGTATCGTGGACAGTTCCTTTGGCAATATCCCCCGCCTCCACCGCAGCCGTATATGTACAACAATGACCAGGTAGATACATACCTCACCTACTGCTATTTGAAACCCTTAAAACCGCGCATCCGGCAGCCTCGACACGCTAACGGAAAGCCGTTATGAAACGAGGTTAAAACGACTGAAAGTTAACATCTTTTATGCTAATTTCACCTTTACATCCGCCGAGAGACATCCAAGGCGAGACAATAACACGGGACCTTTCAGTCAATTCGGTTGGCTCATTGATATTGAGGTTTTGACGTAACGTAATTTGAAAGTATCATTGAATAGAGAAAGCTATTCGTTTAAGGTCTAGTCGAAACGTGCAGTTTTAAAACCCCATTATGTACCAGATAAAAATAGCTTCAACAAACGCGGAGGCGAACGAACCTTCCCTCCGTCTCTTTTCGAGGGAAAGAGAACCCGACAACCTGTATGTTTTGTCTGCTGCGGTCGTCCGTAACGCCAAATTCAAAAAACCTCGCCGTTTTTCGTTTTGCGAGTTCATTGACTACCATTATCGATCTTCCGAACCCTCGCTAGAATAACACACGTGCTCGTACGGCTTCACAAAAATAAATTCAACACAGTCGTTGTCTCTTCCTTTCGTCTAGACGATGAATGGGGTCTTTCATCAAAGCTAATAATGGTTGTTTTTTTTCCAGGATACTCTTGTACAAAACCTTCCAACGGAGCGGCCGGGATTCGTCCGAGGTTTCCGCAAGAATTTGGGCGGTCGTTGGCGACGTCTCGTTAAAAGGAAGCCGCCGACAGAGGTGTATACCATTCCAGCCGAATTGAAGCCTCAGCTGAAGCAGATATACGTTTATTGATGATGTGACCTCGACGGGGCGAGCGGCCCTGGACGCGGTCACCGCCAAGAGACACTTCCTTCCTGCAGCTTCTCGGCAAAGGCGTCTGGAAGCTGATGTCGGCCTTCCTCAATGAGACTGATTAATATTAACAAGTTTTAGTTTATTACTCGTATGGATCTTCACTCCAATATGACAATGGAGCTTAGGATTAGTTGATAGTCGCTGTAAATAAATGTAAAGAATTAGGGTTAGTCCTATTTCGCAGACTAAATTCAAAACAAAACCAACATTTGTGATTTTAAATCGATAACTGCACGTTGAATTCCCGATTTATCCGGAGAATTTGTCGTGCTGATATTTTTTATTTAGGAAAATTGTCAATGCGCTTCTCTAGATAAATTTACATTAATTTGTAGTGATTTTTAAGTAGCTTAGTTATATATTGTGACTCATATTGAGTTCAGGCATTCTTGAATGTTGTGATTTTTAAGTATTTTTTCATAATACACATTCATGAATCTCCAGTTTTGCTATCGGTCAATAAACTTGTTCTGTATGAATTATGTAGCCTATGGGATGAAGCCATCCGGACTTCTCATACTAGTCAGATATTGCTAAGTAATTGTATCAGACGTTGGAAAGAATATTTTTAATATTGCAGTAAATTATTTCAGTATTATAATTAATTTATTATGATATTTATGATAGCACAAATTGTTTCAAATTAAATGATGATAGCAAATGAAAATTAGTTACCTACATATCAGGCCAATGTTCATGTAAATAAAGCAATAACAAAATACTTCACAATAAATTATTGTTACTTTTTGAAATGCAGTTTTTTATTTAATGAGCAACACAAAAAAGTACAAAAGCACACAATATAGAGTTGTTAGTCATCTGGGAACACCAAAAAGATGTAAATAATAATTCTTTAAAAAACTATTTTACTTCTTTAATTAAAGTTATTTATGAACGTTTATTAGACATGTTGTATATTTTTCTTTGAAGAATCTAATCTCGTTTGAACTTTTTACTAGCTAATTCTAAACTTTGTTTATAATTGGAACGTGAGATTTTTCTAATAATAGTTGCTGTACTTTTGAGAAAGCATATACATAAATCAATGAAACAGAATTCAAGTCGCGTTGATTAATTGTATCTAGTATTGTATGATTTTAATCAGACAGAGCCTTAGAGACTAAAAAAACGCCCTAGACTGTACCTTCAGTATTTTTTAAAATATTTCAATACGTATTCTTTGATCAAAGTTGAACAGTTTTTTGTTATCAGTCGGTTACTTATTCATAGATAAAATTAATAAAAATTTTCTATTCTTTACTTTCTTATTCTATTTTATTTAATTTTCAAATTGTCTAAAACTCCTAAAAGCAATAATTATAGTGATAAATACTTGTAATAGTGAATTTGTTGAATAAAATACTTAAGTGTTCCATTTAAAAATCTGAAATTAATCCCAGATTCGGTGAAACAGAAAGCCGTATTTTGAGCTTGTATCTATCTGTGCAACTTTGTTTTAAGAAGTATTGGCATATCTTTCAAAATAATAAAGTTATGGCTTAGGGCGTTTTGGATAGACTTCGTCCTTAATTTTTTTTCCTTAATAATTTGAAATAAATCACCGTTAAATATAATGAGTAAGAGCCAGATACTATAATTCAAATATATAGCGTGCCATCTGTGTGCTAGAAGCGAAACAAAAGTTACGTAGTTTATTTTTTTACTGCTCTTAAGGTTTTCTCTTTTTACGCTCATCGGAACGTTGTTAGTTATATAATGGCGGATATTTACAATATCCATTCCTAGATATCGCTTTAAGGATTTAAAGTTTTCGTCTGAATTCTATTGTCTGAAATATTTTTTAAATTTTTACTCATTTGTTTTAGAGATGATACAAGGCTTTTTCTAATTAGCATTTAACATTTTGGAGAAGAGTTTTTTTTTCATTTTTGAATGTAAAGGTCAAAAATAGCTTTAAAATTGTTGTTTTTATTTTACAAAAAATGTTTAAAATAGCCTATTTATTTCCTAGCAATAAAAGATACGTTAGGTACACAAAATTTTGTAAAGAGTCGTACTCAAATTAAGAAGGTTTGTTTTATAATGTCCTATTTGCAGAAATGGTTTTTCCCGTGCTGTCAACTACAAATACAAACAGAACAATTTTATATACCCAATTTCTTGTGGTTAATAATCCTTATTTGCTAGTAAAGTAGTAAAGTGTTAATCGTTTGTTGAAAAATTTCACATGATTAAGATCGGCATATCCTCTTTTCCCGACAGCTCGACAGCCGAAATACCGTTGATGGAGCATCTTGGAAATTTTCGGAACAAGATTTATGTTTACTTTGGTATGATGTTGACAGCAGTTCACTCTCACAGTTTTCAGTAATTGTGACGAAACTCGAAGAGACTGTGATAAATGTCAGCATTATTTCAATGCGAAGCTTCGGATTTAAGGGTTTGTCTCGTTTTAATTTGAATGAGATTGAATCGGAATGCGTTTTCACCGTTTGATGTGTTTTCTATTTCGACGAGTGCACCCGATTTTCTCCCGTAATTGAAAAAAAAGGAAAAAAAGGAAATCCATACTCTGCCATAAACAGTTGTGCATATCAAGTGCTTGTTATTATTTACTTGTGTGGGGCTCAGGTCGCGTAAATAGGACAACGGAAGGGTTCTGTCAGAGGTGGACGTAAATTTAGTGGCCATTTGTCTTGGTGATATACGGTTTCTCGTAACCATCTGGCCGCTTGGATCGCTATTATCTAATTCATGTTTTACACCTTTGTTCCCCAATCTTTTGTCAGAGGAGAAATTCACAATTTAGCCGAATTCAATTCACAAATAACTTAGAGAGAGACTTAAGATATTATTTTTTGAGTTAAAATCTGAGCAGTTATTGAGGGAGCATACTATCAGATTAAATATTTCTTTATTTGAAAGCAATTGTTTTTTATAACTTGAAATATGCGTCTAATAAGACTATTATATTTGATTCTAATAAAGATTTACATAACAAATAAATAAATAGGGTAAATCCGAGATAGATGGACTTTTAAACTTTGAGCTCTTCCAGAGCCCCATCTTTCGTAGAAAAATGTTAATTACAATGTTTTAAGTAAATGTAAGAAACCGCTTGGAAAACAAGTGACTCAATACTAAATTTCAAGATTATAAGCGTTTTACGCAAAAATTTGATCAATAAAATTTAGTATCTTGCATATACCTACAATTGTCCCAGTTTAACGGTGAAGTAAAGCTTATTATTACTTAAAAACATATTAATATGATGTATATGTCATAGTCATTGGGCGTAATGCGTCATTCCGCGGAAAGCCTAGTCTTTGACCGTACTGCCGGCAGACGCTGTAATCAAATGAACATTCCTTTGTTTGACTGAAATTTTACGTCATTTCAGGGATTGCCTACTTAATTCTCGTCAAACAAAGTAACCGGTTAAACCACTACATGTTACAGCGTTTGACGAAAGTGTATTTAGTCATTTGCTAAAAGGTCTTAAAATGTTTGATACTTTCTGTAGAAATGTAATTTTTGGTAGAAGAAAAGAAAAGAAAAAAACTAAAATATTTTTATTGTAGCAAAATATTTGTTTCGTTTATTTGGAATAATGTAAACATATAATATTATAAAATCATACAAAAAACGGTAAGTACATGACCTAAACAACAGATTAAAATATATTTTTTGCCTTCGGATAAATTAAACAAAAATAAAAATATATTCTTTAGAAATATCTTTAGCAGTCTAAAATATGTACAACTGAAATAAAGGTGTATTTTGAGGTTAGAAGTCTTTTACCTCTTTCATTACTTCATAATTCCACGGTTTTTTGGCATCTTTGTTTTTCAAATCATATTCATTTAATTTGTCATAAAACAAACTATTATGATTATCCATTATTATCCATTTTCAATGAGAAAAGTCCAACAATCACTAAATGTTACGGCCCGAAATACTACACAATAAAATTTCAAGCTTTCAGTAAATGACTAAATACACTTTCGTCAAACGCTGTAACATGTAATGGTTGAACCGGTTACTTTGTTTGACGAGAATTAAGTAGGCAATCCCTGAAATGACGTAAAATTTCAGTCAAACAAAGGAATATTCATTTGATTACAGCGTCTGCCGGCAGTACGGCCAATGACTAGGCTTTCCGCGGAATGACGCATTACGTCCAATGACTACGACATAGATGGAGACGAAAAAAGTAACAATTAATAACAATTAGTATGGGAGAGATGAACTTTTAGAAAACAATATAATTTTTACTTTCCTTATCCTATAAGGAAAGTAGGTATTGTAATTGAAGTTTGATCTACCCAGGTTTTACATTTCTGGACGAATTATATCTTCAAGACACCAAAAAAGTTGGTTTGGGCCATTGGGTTGTGTGTGTGTGTGCGTGTGTTCATGGGGATACAAATTATTTCGAATCATGAAATATACCTTATTAAACAGTAAAATGTGATAAAATAATAATAATACCGGGTACCGAACTAAAAAAGAACTGCACTCCAGACTTGAACCTCGACAACTATGATCTATTTCGCTTGTAATCCGGCAGGTGGTACTAACGCAAAGGTTACACTAAATAATTGTCCTTATTAGGTTGTTTTCCAAATAAGTAGGATAAGGAAAGTCGAGTGATGTTCACACCAGATTTTTTTAAGTGGTTAAAAAAGTGTGTTTTTATTTTGCTACTTTTATAAGTTGTCTTAAAGTTCATGTTAAAAAAAAAACATTTGTAGTTTGAATCGAAGTAAAGATCATAATTTTACAGTAGAGTTTTCAAAATGTGGTTTATTTCTCCCGGACTTACCCTATACTAAAATATAAAAAAATGTGATCTTTGTGTGCTAAATATTGTCGTTTGTGATTATGCTGAGTAAAAAAGAAATGTTACCGTCGTTTCACTTAAAAAAATAAATAAGTAACTAGGTATTAGGATGAATATTCTTTCTTTTTAGTTGTGAATACCCTGGTTACATTCAACTGTTGGAATGCAAAGTACAATAAATCTCTTATAACTGTACTAAAAGAACGATTTCTCTCTTCCGAAGGTTACTTTTACAAAGACTCTTGTCAAGTGTCAATTTGAAAATCGTTGGCGTGCCAATAAATACAGTTACATCATTGTGAAAATTTTAATTTTTATCACTCAATAAATGTACTTTCACTATGGCGTTTTAATTGAAGATAAAGTACATTACTAAAATTTAGTAAAAAGTAAATTTTGGGTTTTTGCGATACGAATATCGTAAATGCCTACTTTGTTGTAATAAAGCAGAATAATATGATTTTTTTTTAATTCAAAATATGGAAAATTAATGAACTCGCCTTTTTTTTAGATGCGAAATGTATAGTGAGAGAATTCAACATTCCTACATACCACTTAATTCATATACGGTCGCTTGTTTTTCAAGTTGTCTGGAGCTCCAAATTCATAAACAGCTTAAAATTAAATTCGCCTCTTGAGTAAAATTCAGCTCCTCACTATTTTAATCTGCAAATTATAGAAATGCATTTGTAAGAACCGAAACGATATAAAATAATGTTTTTGTAGTAATTAAATAAAGGGAAGTTAGGTCGCTAAAAGGTTATTTTGGACATGTGGTAGAGTCTTCTGAATAAAAGGTTATAATAATAATAATGAAAAACGGAAAATTAATGCAACTCCTCGAACTTGAAAGGGCGTTTGATCCTGGCAGACTTTTTAATTGCTGACGCTTGGAATTTTTTCAATGCCTTGAATAATTTAAGGGGTCATGTGAATCTTATTGCAGCC